TAAGTGTACCTGTGGCAGATCCATGATAAAATCATAGGCATTAGCCTCTTTTGTCGCCTGGATGATGTCTTCCATGGTTACTCCAGGTCGACCAAACTGGATGTTATCTGCAATGGTTGTAGCAAACAGCGTTGGCTCCTGCTCTACAATACCAATGAGAGATCGGAGCCACTGGATGTTTAAAGTGCGAATGTCATGGCCGTCCAAAGTCACCTGAGAACGATAATTACATATGTGACATTACACCGAAGCCTTCAACTTCTCCAGTGATGTCTTGTGTGTCTGTGCAGTTGCTCAGATTGTTACCATTCCTTCCTTTGGGTCATAAAACCTTTGGAGGAGCTGGATTGTGGTGCTCTTCCCAGATCCACTTGGTCCCACAAAAGCAGTGGTTTCTCCTGCTTTGATCTGCATGCTCAGATCATCTAAAATCTGAAAAAAGTAGTTTGCTCTTTGTGAGTTAAATTTTGAAATGGGAAAAATTGACACAAAGAAATGTGTGTGGAAGAAATGTACCTTGACTTCAGGCCGGGATGGGTAGTAGAAAGTGACATTAAGGAACTCAATGTCACCTTTTACTTTGTCTAATTTGTGACCTTCTTTTGAGAAACAATCAATTTCTGGTTCCTGTGAGCATAACAGCACAGAATGTTATTTTACATTGAAGATTATTTTTCTTCAAATGTTCTCTTTCAAATCTGTATTATAGCTGCAATAAAGTCTTAAGTAGCATTCAGATTTTACCCGGTCAAGCGTGTCAAAGATGTTTTTCGCTGCAGCACAACCACAAACGAATGTCTCCAGGCAGGGTGAGGCCTGGCCCAGGTTAATGGCCGCCATGAGTACTCCAAAGAACCCCTGAAAAAACATAGCAGCTTCATGGTGAAACAAAGGCCACTGCCTTTCAAACACTCATATTATATGTTATAGAGTATCAGAAGTTGAATTAATTAATTTTCACATACCTGAATAAGAGCACCAGGAGACAGCTCCTTGGTGTCTATGACCAACTTAGATCCATACCAAAAGGCCAAAGCGAAACACAATAAAACGATGCACCACATGTATCCTTGAAAAACGCCCACGATCGTGCCCTTTTTCACTCCCCAGATCTGAGCTTCTGCAAGGTTTCTGTCATATCTGTACAAATGTCACATTTCAGTTTAATTCAGAATCATGGGGTTATGGCTCATCATCATTTGCAAAGCAGAACAACTTCTTGTGATCTTACAAAATTACGAAATACCTCTCAATTTCTTTTTCCTCCCCACCGAACGCTGCTACTGTCCTGATGGATGCCAGGACCTCGTCAGCCACTGCCCCTGCCTTTGCATAGGACGTTAGCTCTCGTCCTGTCAGCCTGGCCACAGCCTTCAGCAACAAGAATTACACAAAAACATTAGAAAGCATATTTAAAGGTACAATCCGAAGATCTCCAAAACAATTTTCTATGGCGGCACCGATGCCGATAAGCGGTCGATCTCACTTCCCAGAGATCTCAACAGTCTCCCCTTTCCTGGGAAAGTCACCTCAGACCCTCAGTTCTTCATACTGCAATTAAGAACTGCAATTAAGAAAGCAAAGGCTTTCAACAGTGGGCCATAGGCTCAATCACCATTGTGTTACCTCATTCGGCGATAGATAGGGACTTAGCAGTAATTTATTTGTATGATAATCTTCAAGATTATTACATTTTTTTGTGACATATGATACCACGCACTGTAGCAATTTACTCCATCCCAGTACTAAGAAATCATTGTTCGATTCACAACTTTACCATGGCCATTAGTGCAGCAGCTATGCCAATCAGTGGGCTCACTGATATGACCACCAAAGTCAGCTTCCATCCACCAATGAATCCAACCATGAAGCCAAACACGAACGTAGAGATCCTCTCGATGAAGATAGACACCTGGTCAGCGATGGCATTGTTGATCTTGCTGATATCACTGTAAAGGAACAGAGAAGCTATTCTGAACACTCTCCCTGCTATGAATTGATAAGAGCCTGATCTTTAAGAGCCCCAACTCACTCTGACATCCTTGTGTTCAGTTCACCAACAGGGTTGCAGTCAAACCATCCGATCTCCATTTGCATTACTTTTCTGAAATAAGTCTTTCTCATTTTATCAATTTGTCTTGCAGCTGCTGACATCCAGAAGAAAATCTACGGTGAACAATCAGAGTTCTACAAAGTTATTTCTGTGACTGATGTGCAACAATGTCAGAAGTCATACTTTCTTAAGATGGTTTTAAAATTGAGGCTGAATACGGCAAGCATAAATACATACCTGAAAATAACTAACAAACATAACTCCTAATCCAATCCCAACATAGTAATATGCAAACATGGTCATCTCTGCTTCAATATCCACCCTGCAGAGAGAATAAATAAGTAACAGCCGCTTTTCAACTGCAACAACAATCACATGAACAGTTTAACAACTTACCCGCAGTAGACAGAGCTGTTTTCAGCTGTTTCATATATGGAGCCATTTTTCCAATAGATAGTGTTGTTGTTGCATGTCCTATTTTCATCTTTCAGTGCTTGGACCTCAATCTCATAAGACACAAACGTGTTTGTCATCCTGCTATATACCAGAAGCATGAGAGGTGAAGCTGCACCGTGTATGATGGCACACAAACCCCCTACTACCATCATCAAGGTGTCTTTGCAAGTGGCAAAGCGAAACTGCAAACACAAATTTGAATTCAATTTGCAACCCATTTTGTTTTAATTTTTATTCTTGATGATCAAATCAAAGAAGAGGTAAATAACAGTGGTGTAGAGGGGTACATAAATGACTCAGATCCTTTACATAATTAATGCAACAATGTGAAATAGTCCAACACGAGTAAAAGTCTGACAAACTAAATCCTACTTATGTAAAGGTACATGAGTAATATAAGCTGTCAAGTACATGATTATTATAAGCAAGTTGAAGTTCCAAAGTACTCATTCTGTAGAAAAATGGCCTCTGTAACGGATAACATAACATTTTAAAAGCTTATAGCGTGTTTTTATGTTAAATCTTAACCTGTTAACCAGTAACAAAGGCAGAAAGAAAATATAGTGGAATAGAGATACTCAAGTAGCTCAACATTGATACACAGGACTGATGTAAATATCTTCATCAAGCTAAAAACCCACCTTTATAGATTACATCTCAACAACCTTGCTAGCATGTTTCAAACAAATCAAAATTCAAAAGCAAATCTCTAAACACTCTTACTGGAGCACTGGACAGGCTGTTAGTTATCTGTGTGAAAGCGATACCCTCTTGGTGCTACGTTGTGTAAAAGCACTTATTTTGTCCCTTTGGACAAAAGTGTCATATGAATGTAAAGTAATGTAAAATATACTGAGTTACTTTCCACCACTGTTTGAGAACAAAAGGCACAAAAACACAGTATTTACCAGCTGAAAGTATCCAACACTCAGAGTATTTTCTTTTTTCTTCTCATCTCTGTAACACATGTACATTAAAGTAACAACAACATAACCACTGCAGGCAACGTGTTCTGAAACATACAGTAGTTTATTGTGGGAGATGTCAATCATTACAACTTACCCATTCTCAGTGTCTGCTAGAAAAAGAAGTAAAGCTATATTCAGTTACCTATTGTTACTTGCTTTTTTTTATAGAACTCTATTATTGTATCTGTTCTTTTGCAATGAAAATAGATCACTTACCTCTTTTATCTGTTGTTGTTGTGAATTTAGTTGATTTCTTCATGTTTGCTCCCCCGACTTAGGCAGGTGTCCTCACTATAACAGATGGTTATAGATATAGATATATACGTGTGTATATATAAATAAATGGATGTTAATCAATTGGATTGTCATCATATATGAAACTGCTCACTATAAGGTATGTTGACTAACAGGGTCATGATTTCTGCGAAGAGTCATTACAGTTTTTCAAAGTGTATTTTTTATTTGGCACTTTATCAGGCTAATGCCTATGATTTTATCATGGATCTGCCACAGGTACACTTA